TTCAACAGATCCTTAACGGTGGCAGCACCTATGCCGGAGCTAGCACCAGTAACGGCTGCAACACGATTTTGCCAACGTTCCATTATATTAATAACGCTTARTTTTGAAAGAGAACACCAACTGTTTGCACTATTGAAGKCTAGTGAAAGACTGATGTGTTTAGAGAACACTGCTTGCTATTTATAGCGCTAGCGGTAAGAGGTCTCTGAAAGGTACACTGTGATGAGTAAAACACATTCTATAATTTTAATTGAGATAACTCAAATATTGGTCGTTATATGCAGTAAAAATTCACCCGGAATCTCGCATATATTTATATTAGGTATAGGGTTTTTCAATAAGAGGGCTACAAAACGAAGTTAATTAATCGTCGCTGRCTTGTTGGCATATGCCATTGACTTGACGTAGCCCCACAGGAAATAATCCAATGGCGTCAAATCGCATGACCGAGGCGGCCAATTAACTGGACAATTTCGTGAGATAASACGTGCAAAAAACTTGGTTTTCAATAAATCGATTGTGACATTCGCTATGTAGCTTGTGCCGCCGTCTTRTTGGAATCACATATTGTCCAAGTCCATAACATCGAAATTCGTGTCAAAAATATTCGTTTATCATTGAGCGGTTTCCATGATGAAATGACTAACCTTACTGAAGAGAAATGTTCAAAGACCGGCAAAAAATATGGCATCATTTGATGTCCGCWTCGATTTACTTTTGTWGCGTCGTTTTCAAAAAACCCGTTATTTTAAATCTTAGCTATTGAAATTTCTGTTGCTGTAGCTGAGCAGTTTGAGATGTCGACGCTTTGYCTTTCATAACTCGGCTGATTCTGCACGCATGCGAATGCGAACTCACGTCGGTTGGGATAGACGATAATGGAATTATAAACTAAATGTTTGATATACAAACTATGACCTTTGTGCTTTCTATACTTTGAACCCAACTACTGGTGCCTTTAATATAAATATGCTTTWTTAATATATAAATCAGAGTACTTTATTATGCACAATTTTAAGTTTACTGGCAGTTAAAAAAGGGCACTTCTTTATCAGTTGATTTAATGATGTAACAAGTACAAGCAASTATAAATAATAGTTAATTATGTTTATTTTAACCTTATCGGCAGGAGTGGAAGCTATAT